CGCTATTTTTCAGGAATTCACATAAGGTAAAAAATTTCTTATTAACACAAATCTGTGTGTTGCATAGTGAAAATTCCTAAATAAGTTAACTCCTTTTTTTTTTTTTTTTTTTTTTTTTTTTTAGTTGTTGTGTCTTTTTGTTCGTGTTTTTTAGTCAGTGTCTTTCATGTAGTTCAGCTGGTTTTGAATTCATTATATAGTCAAGAGTGACTTTGAATTCTTGGCCCTCCTTCTCTCTGAGTACTAGTATTGCAGGCATACACCACACACAGCTTCTTTAAAAGATTTGCTCTCTTGTTCTTTGGGGTGGGGTGGGGAGGTTTGTTTGTTTTGTTTTTTGAGTTTGATGCCAGCTCTCCTGGGTAGCTCCGTTTGGCATCAAAGTCAGATCCTTCTGCCTCCCAAGTTCTGGAATTAGTGTGTGTTACCATGCCTGGCCTTCAGGATTTTTAGTGAAGTAGCCTGAAACACTAAATAGTAAGTTCAATGACAATTTGCACATACACAAAACCTGAGGAGCTATTTTTTATTTCTCCGCCATTTTCCCTTAGGACTAGGCATGAAGCTTGATGATTTTAAACTATGCTGGCTGGCCAGCAAATGTCAGCAATCCTCCTTTGTTTCCCACATCCCGATTCAAGGATACATGTACACACAGCTATTTACATGTACACTGTTTATGTGGGTGCTGAAAATCTGAATTCAGATCTTTGTACATGTACAGCAGTCAGCCACTAAATCATTTGCTCTGCCTTCGTTTTATTGTTTTTAGGTATTGCAAGTAAAGACATCACTGAGCATTTTTGTAAAGAAACATTTGTTTACAATAGTTCTTTCTTTAGGAGACATTTTATCAGTTACATTTCTGCTGGCAAGAGTAGTTGTCCTTTCTCTTGTTGTTGTGTTGCGCCCCCCTTCCTCCCCAAACAGGGTTTCCTGTAGCTTTGGAAGCTGACCTGGAACTCAGTAGAACAAGTTGGCCTTGAACTAACAGAGGTCTGCCTGCTGCCTCCCGAGTGCTGGGAGTAAAGGCATGTGTCACCACCCCTGGCAGTAGTTGTCTTTTCTAAACCATATATTTATCCCTTGCCGGATGTATATTCAACTAAGTCATCACTTATTTTTCTAGGCCTTTTAAAAACCGGTTTAAAATAGCAGTTAGATTCTAATCCATGTGTAATTTGTTTGGGTAACTGGTTTAAAGAAGTGATGGAAAAATACTTTTCATTTAACTCTAGCCATTTGGCAAAATTTGTAAAATAAGCTGTCCTTTCCTATGCCCATTTGTAATTCATCCTACTGTGATTCACAATCTTAAATTCTAAAGTCCAAAAGCTTCTGACATCCAACTCCTTGTTCTCAAATTTAGCTTAGAACCCATTTCATGGCAAAGCATTGTCAAAGGGCCTGAGGCCTCTTAACGTCTTGTATTTTATTCTCTCTGAACATTCTTATTTTACTATAAAAATAGTTTGCTTGATTTGTATATTATTTTGTGATATATGGTATATATATTTTGTTACTTTTTAGAAACCAAGAATGTTTCTAAATTATGAAACAACTTACTCCAAAAATTGATGGTCTAGAATTTCAGGGCTTGTATGAACTCATACACTATGTTCACTGGTTGCATCATAACCTTTTCCACTTCCTAATTCAGAATCATGTTATTCCAAACTAAACTTCCATTGAAATTAATTTTCAAAGTACATTATTTATAGCTTAATTGATTCTGAATAGCAAGTGGAGGTAAAGATGGTGGCACAAGCCTGTGTAATCCCAGCACTCGAGAGGCTGAGGCAGGAGCATTGCCATGAACAAATGGTAAAGATCATGAGGTAAGTATCAATAAAGTTTTTTGGGGTGTTGGTTTGGTTTCATTTGGGGTTTTGAGACAGAATTTGTCTGTGTATGTTTTTCTGGCCTGAAGCTGACTTGTAGACCACGCTGGCTTGAACTCAGTGAGAGATGCCAACATGTCTGGTGCTCAGAAAGTTTTATATGTGTCACTATCCTTATTAAATTCTTGACAAGCTATTTTAGACGAGTCTTCATTCCATAGGCAGTTCCAATGGTTGTTGGAACTATGTACATGTTAGAATTTCTGAAACACCATGGCTCCGATTTCATGTTATGAATCAGTGTTTTTACTGTCATATGAAGTTTTTTGCTCTTGTGGAAACACCATGTTTCAAATATGGAAACAAAGGCCTAATAGCTTTCATTCCTCAGTTTATAGGTCTCAAACTGATAACCTAGTATAAGTTTTTTATAGTCCTAGTATATAAACAAAGTGCACAGTCATACACTTCAAGGGATTTCCTCAAAGTACACATAGCCCATATCAGACTGTCAGCACCCTAGAAAACCTTTATCTCCTAATGACTCCCAGCCCAAAGGGTAATCACTACCATGGCTCCTAGAACCATGGACTTAGTTTCCTGTATTAACTGCAAGTTTATTAATGTGGCACATTCTTCATGAGAATTGTTTTATTCAGTCTTCAGTTTTGCAAATTTGGGGCTGTTATGAAGAGAACTGCTACAAATATGTTTGTTTATGTGTGGAGAATTGCTACATTTTGGTTAGAACACCCAGTGGTATTTCTGGGTAGCAGGTGTTGTCTGTTCCCAAACGTGCTTAAAATTATTCTAAGTGATCATACTAATCCATAACTGCTCTATGGGGTAAGAACATCTACATTGTTACCAGTGCTCGGTCTGTTCATGTTAGTCATTTTGATGAGTGTGTCAGTACACAATGTGGTTTTCTTGCCTGATGAATACTTTTTCAAATATTTATTGGTTATTGTGGATTGTCCATATCTTTTGCCTACCTTTGTAATGAATTGTTGACATTTTCCTGAATAATTTTTTCAGCATTATTTCTGCATTCTAGATACAAGTTCTTAATTGGATATTAATCTCAGGTGTCAATCATCCAGGGCTGGAGAGATAGCTCAGCAGTTAAGAGCAATGGCTGCTCTTCCAGAGGTCCTAAATTCAAGTTCCAGCATGGTGGCTCACAACCATCTATAATAAAATCTGGTGCCCTCTTCTAGTATGCAGGCAGAATATTGTACACAATAATAAAAATCTTTAAAAAAAAGAAATCATCCATCTGAAACTGATATCCCATGTGGATATCCTGTTAACCCAGCACCATTTATTAAAAGACTGCATTGCAAGAGATGGGAGGCCTCCAAAAACATGAGCCCTGGCTACTCAGGTAGTGATCAACTGGCCCAAGACTAGCCTGGCTTGCCTGAGTTGGCTCCAGGTTGGGGGGGGGGGCACTGCTTAATCTCTAGCTGCCCTTAAGAGGGGACAGAGCAGGAATTATTAAGAACAGTATTGGAGCCAGATCTATATGAGAATAGGTATCTCTAATTGCTCCCATGGTGGCCATTGGTCTGGTGGGAATGGATAAGAAAGAACCCCAATGTGTTCTTTTACTGAGCCAAGAGCCCACTAATAACCAACAAACTAGTGATTCACCTATTTCCCCACATTACCGCCCCCCTACCCTTGTGCTAGGGTTACAGACTCATAACACTGCTCTCAGCTTTTATGTAGATTCTGGAAATCTGGGATCATGTCCTCATGCTGATTTGCATTTCTCTGGTGGCTAAGGACAGTAGAAACTTTGATGTTTACAGATCATTTCCACTTAAGAAATGTCCATCTGCATAAATTGATTGGATTATTTGGTGTGGGCCCATCCTTTGGTATTTAATTATTTTGTTCATATATCATAAATATTAATATTCTATCAGATGAATAGCAAACATTTCTTCATTCTGTAGACAATTTCTCCACTCTATTAACTTTACTGTGCTGAACTTATTAATTTTGTGCAGTCCCACTTCTTAGTTCTTGCTCAGTTTTCCTAGGCAGTTTTCCTGTGCCTGGATTGGGAACTATTTTCTCTTGTTTTCTATTAACCGTTTCATAGTTTCCAAGTGATAAATTAATGTCTTTGATCTGTTTTAAACTGAGATTTGTACAAAGTGAGTGCAAAACCTAGTTTCATTCTTTTGTGTGGGGGCATCCAGTTTCCCCAGCATCATTTGTTGAGGAAGGTTTTCTTAACAGTTGCTGAGAATACCTATACATACCTGTGTGGGTTTATTTCTAGATCTAGTATTTCATCGTTGAATACCTGTGCCCTTGGATGTTATCTATTGATGAGTGGTAACAGGTTCAGATAATAGTGGGTAATGTCACTGATTGGTTTTTGTTCAGTATTATGAAGTTGAGTACATCAACATTCATATATATACTTCCAACTATTTCTTCTTTCGGTCCTTCAGTACCCTATACCCCTCCACTCCCGCTGCCTCTATTTATGTAGTGCTAGGATGGAACCCAGGGCTTTGGGTATGGTAGGCAAACACACCAACTGTGTTATATTCCAAGTGCTGCTCTGTCTTCTTGATGAATTAATATATAATGACACTTTTTGGTGTCTTACCTGAGAAGCTGCCTTGAAATCTAGCATTTGTCTTCAATGAATAAAGCTACACCTGCTTACTTTTAGCTTCTATTGAAGAGCATATTGCTTCCCATCCTGCCACTTTTACTCTGAGTCTTTGTCAATCTTTTGTTGGTGTTTCTTTTGTAGACAACACTAGGATCATGTTTTTAATTGAGATGGTCTTTTATTTGTAAGTTGAAGCCATTAAAATATTGGACTGAGAATTTGCCTATAATGATGGTTTTATTGATTTTATTATTTTTCCTTATTTGTTCTAGAGCGCTGCTGGTTTACTAAGTTGGGCATGGTCTATTCTATTCTCCTGGTTCTCATTTCTCTCATGGAATTTATTCTTTGTTGTACCCTCATGTTTGTGACTGTCTCTTCTGCTATGTAGGATTCCTTCAGTGCTGGCTTAGTTGACATGAATTACTCTAGTTTGTGCTCACTTGGAAGATTTTACCCTCTTATTTTCATTTGTACTCAAATAACTTTATTTGAAACCAGTTTTGACTACCCAAAGATTAAGGTTGAAAAACAAACAGCCATAGTTTTATTCTGTTCATTCATACTGGGTGTTATACAGGTGGTTTGGAGGCTTGGGAAAGTCAAGGAGCATTGTGACTGCTATTGTAATGGTGATCAGCAGCCTTCCCCAGGGAATCCATCTGTGCCTTTATTTCTTTGGTGTATTTAGATATAAAAGTTCTGGACCTTTTACTCTGCTTTCATCAGGAAAGAACCCCATTACAAAGTATCTCCTAGGATGGCTTCCCTCTACTTTTACCAGCAGCTAGTAAGGTAAGGAGGTATAATATCTCATTTGTTTGGCATCTGCAACACAGTGCAAATTCTCCCTGGTTGTGCAACACCAGATGTGGGTACTGGGAAGCAAACATCTTCCACAAGAACAACAGATGTTCTTTTGTTTATTCGAGACAAGGTTTCTCTGTGTAGCCATGGATATCATGAGACTAGTTTTGTAGACCAGGCTGGCTTTGAACTCACAGAAATCTGCCTGCCTCTGCCTAGCAAGTACTAGGATTAAAGGCTGTGCCCCAGCCCTGGTAGGAACAGATGCTCTTAACCACTGAACCTTGTCTCTTGCACACCTACACTGGTATTTCAAATAGCATCAGACTGTTCAAGTTTACAAAAAAAAAAAATTAAAGAAGAAATTTTTATTTGTACTTTCAATAGGTTTTAGATATGATTATTTTTTTTAAAAATTTTAATAGAAAATAATAAAAAATGAAGTAGTTTATGTTGAATATAACCTGGCCCAAGGGCATCACATTCACTTCAACACAGTTTCCGATCACATGGAACAGTCTACAGCTTTTCAATCAGCACAGCAGAAGCACCTCCTCCTCCATTGCAAATACTGGCCAGACCAAATTCTCCTTGCTTCAAGGCATGAACCAAGTGAACAACAATTCGGGCTCCAGACATCCTAGGATTAAGAAAGCATTTGGTTCTTTAATGAAGGTCAGAATTCAGGACTAATGAAAAGTTTCCAATCCAAATTAACTTCTTGAAAATATTATTAGCCAGAACTTGTGGCTGAGTTAACTACTTTTCAGTCAGGGAGAGATTACAGCTCTTAGAAAAGCCTGGACTTTAGTTTCTTTATTGTTCAACATTGTTAGTGTGCTGAATAGCTTTATATTATCTTAACATAAGCTAGAGAGAGCCTCAATGGAGAAAATGCCTACATAGGATCAGGCTATAGATAAGACTAGGATATTTTCCTAGTGATTGATGGGGGAAGACCCGATCTATAGTGAATGGTGTCATCCTTGTGCTAGTGATCCTGAGTTCTATAAGAAGGGAGGCTGAGCAAGCCATGAGGAGCAAGCCAGTAAGCAGCACTTTTCCTTGGCCTGTGTATTAATTAGGTCCTGCCTCCAGGTTCCTGCCCTATATGAGTTCCTGTTCTCACTTCCTTAAACCCTTTCCTCCCCAACTTGCTTTTTTGTGGTGTTTCATCACAGAGTAGAAACCCTGACGAGGATACTTAGATTTCAAGCCACAGATGTGCTAATTCTCTGTTACCTATCAGAAGTCATGTTTATCTTCTTAAAGATGGAAAGGAAAATTGCTAATCAAAAACCAACAGGAGTGATGGTGAAGCAACTGATAGAGATACAGAGGCAGCTATTAACTGGGATTGTTATGGTACTCACCCAATTGGATGGCCCAAAGAAACAGCTCCTCCATGGATATTCACTTTTTGGGGATCAATCTCCAGCATCTTAATGTTGGCCAGTACAACCACACTGAATGCTTCATTTACTTCCCACATGGCAATGTCTTCCTTTTTCAATCCTGCATATTTAAGAACCTAAAAAAATTTTCAGAGATGGTTATCCAAATATTTATTTTCTAGAAATTTTACAGTTTAGGTTTATACTTCCCCTTGATGTAGTTAGTTTCTTAAATGCGAAGGGTTTTTGTTTTCTTTTTGAAAGGACTTGTCTTCAGATTTTGCTTTTTTTGTGTATTATAATCAGAATTTTGTTTGCATTTCATTATGATGCCTACTTTTCAGAGATACAGAGTTTTTATGTATTTGGACATTCCACAAATGTTTAAAAAGGTACATTCTCCATATGAAAGTACATCATGCTATATGTCTTCTTAAGGCCTACCTTACTGGCTGTATGTTACTTAGTTCTATATTTTTGTAGTTTGTCTGTTCCCATATGTCCCCTCAGTTTCTTTAGAAAAACTGTGAGATTATATCAGGCACAAATATCTTTTATGAAATCTTTGATCATGTTTTGTTTCACTAGTTCCTCATCTTGAGCAAAAGATATTTTTGTGCTAATGATTATCTTAATGATAATAATACCTTTTTAATATATTGCCAAAGTCCTTTTTCTTGAGAAATTTTACCACTGGCTACAAATCTAGCATATTAACTTTTTTTTTGTTTGTTTGTTTGTTTTTTTTGAGACAGGGTTTCTCTGTGTAGCTTTGGAGGCTGTCCTGGAACTCCCTCTGTAGACCAGGCTGAACTCACAGAGAGCCGCCTGCGTTTCCCCCCCCCCCCAGTGCTGGGACTAAAGGCATGTGCCACCGATGCCAGGATTAATGTATTCACTTTCAAAGGTGTTCCTGTCTGATATCTGCAGCCTCTTGTGTTGTGCCTGATCCTTCTCTATTCTTACATCTACATGTTCCCCTTATCTGTGTACTATTTTTAGATGTCAACTCTAACTGGATAGGGAAGTACAATAGGAGGATCTCAGGTTCCAGACCAGCCCAGACAACATCAAGACCTTGTACAAACAAAAGGTCAAGGTGAATATGTCCCTTATAAGCATATGTTTGCTGAATATATCTAAGTTCTCTGAACCCTTAGTGTGCTAAGCATCTTTCTTTGCCTGTGACCTTTTAATGTCTTCCCATAGGCTTGGTATGTCTGCCTTTGAAAGCACAGGCAACAATGTGGATTTATTGTGTCTAATGTTACTCTTTCCTACAAGACATACAGTCCATGGTTCCTTTCAGCATGGAGAAACATTTACAAGCAGCTATTTCTTTTGTATTCTAGACCTGGCATCTTTCCTTTCCATACCAGGTATATGCATTCAGGATTGTATTTACAAGTGATCCAGCTATCCACTTCTAATTTGTCCTAATAAAGATGGAGTTTGAGGTTTCCTATTTTCTGAGGTGGACAAACTCAATACCAAATTATCTCTGCTTCTACAAATGAACATTTAAAATGTAAAAACTGAAATCTTGATACAATAAGCAAAACACAAATTAGCAAAATCAGTATAGACCTCTCACTTTTTCTTACCTTAGGTACAGCATACGCAGGTGCAACTGGAAAATCAATAGGGTCTACAGCAGCATCAGCAAATGCTACAAAAAGAAACAGTTACAAACCCTTTCCACATATACCCAGAGATTCATCTTTATATATAAGACTCAAAAGCAAAGCTAATAAATAGATGCACACTGCCTAGTCTCTATACCATATGTGACTACATTTGTTCTTTTTCATTTTTTTTAAAGCAGAGTCTCACTATGTAGATCAGGGTAGACTATACTCAAGACATGTCTGCCCTAACCTTTCTGAATGTTGGAATTAAAGGTGTGTATGACCACACCCAGCTACACATTTGCTCCTTCTATAAGACTCTATTCTTAATAAAATTATATTAGGCTCTAAGACACTGATTTGCCTGGGGAGAGATTAAAGACTATGGCATCTCTAAGGCAGTGGTTCTCAACCTTCCTAATGCTTTGACCCTTTAAATATAGCCTCATGTTATGGTAACCCCCAACCATAAAATTATTTTCATTGCCACTTCATAATTACTTTTGCTACTATTATGAATGCTAATGTAAATATCTGACACACAGGATTTTTGATATGTGACCCCCTTGAAAGGAATATTTGGCCCTCAGGTGTCACGACCCACAGATTGAGAACCACTGGTCTAGAAGCAGCTGCAAGCATGTGCTTGCCATTCTATCAGAGGACCAGAGTTCAGTTCTCAGCACCATGTCAGTCATCTTGCAGCAGCTGTCTCTAACCCCATAACCTCCGTGGGCCAGGCAGTGGTGGCGCACACTATTAGTCCCAGCACTCAGGAGACAGAGGCAGGTGGATCTCTGAGTGCCAGTCCAGCCTAATAAAAATAAAGGCTGACATAATGGCTCACTCAGTAAAGCACTTACCATACAAGTGTATAGACCTGAGTGTGTTCAATCCCTACAACCCATGTCGAGGTGGAAGGAGAAAACCAACTCTGCAAAGATGTCCTCTGACCTTGACATGCCCATCACTAATACAGACAATAACTTTTGTTTTTCTAGACTCCTACTTCCATATTCATTTTACCTGGCTTCCTCTTGGGTAAAACATACCTTTTCCTTTTGCCTATTCATATAGGATGGTAGCAGGAGGTTTTTCTGTTTTGTTTTGTGTGAGGCTTTTTCAAGACAAAGTTTCTCTGTGTAATAGCCTTGGCTGTTCTGGTCTACAGGAACTCACTTTGTAGACCAGGCTGGCCTTGAACTCACAGAGATCTCTCTGCCTCTGCCTCCTGAGTGCTGGGATTAAAGGCATATGCCACCAAAAATGGTATGTTCTTTGTTTTTAAATAATACTCTTTAAAAATTGGGGGGGGATATTTTGTGTGGGAATGGGCACATGTGTGGCATTGCCACCTGTGGAGATCAGACATCAATTTGTGGGAATGGGTTCTCTTCCTTCTACCATATGGGTTTCAGGGATCCAACTCAGCTCATCTGGCTTGTGAGGAAGCACTTTTAACCCACTGAAGTATTTTGTCAGCCCCATAAGTCATTATATAAGGCAGATTTTAACAAAAACATTAAAGGAATGTCTATGTCAATCAAAATAAAAACAGCCAACTCCATAACTGTGTTACCAAGGAGAGACCCTGTTTTAAAAACTAAAGATGAGAAACAAGATGGTCAAGCCGGGCTTTGTGGCACAAGCCTATAATCCTAGCCAGGGATGTTATGGCAGACAGATAACAAGATCAAAAATAGCCTGGGCTACAGAGTTCAAGCCTGCCTGCATAATTAAGGGAGACCCAAAAGGAGGGCAGAAAACTTGTTTAGCATGTGTATATTGGCTAGTTTTATGTCAGTCTGACACAAGCTAAAGTCATCTAAGCAGGGAACCTCAATTGAGAAAATGCCTCGATAAGATCAGGGGGAGGGCCCAGCCCATTGTCAGTGGTACCATCCCTGGACTGGTGGTCCTGGTTCTTTAATAAGGCAGATAAGAAAGGCAGGAGAAGCAAGCCAGAAGCAGTTCTCCATGGCCTCTGTGTCACCTCCTGCCTTGTGTTTCCTGCTTGAGTTTCTGTCCTGACCTCTGATGATGAACACACCCTTTCCTGCCCAGGTTGCTTTGGTCATGGCGTTCCATCACAACAATAGTAACCCTGACTGAGACAACGTGTAAAGCCCTGGAAAGGAAAACCAAGTGAGAACATCTACCTGCAATTCGTGCTAGTGGCTTCACGTTGAGCCTCTGGGCTGCATCTGCAGTCATGAGAACCACAGCAGCTGCTCCATCGTTCAGTGTGCTGGCATTGGCAGCTGTAACAGTGCCTGAAATTAACAAAACATGAAGTCACACATTCTTCTCACTGAGTCCTCCCTCTTCTCTCCCACTAATACCCACAGAGCACTGTCTGGGTTGTTAAATATATAAACAAACTATAGATAGGCTTGGAGGTAATGTCTGCCCTGGGGAAACATGCATAGAGCCAGCTCCATGGTGAATGTCTGCCATTCACTGTGCCTGGCGGAGTTTAGTGGATTTCTTAGAGGTAGCTCAGACACATGGTGGCACTGGGGTGTGACATCTGTCATGTTTCTTCTCAGCATCTCTGCATAGCCAGACCATATATAGCACACTGTATTTTCCAAATCCATGTCAGAATCAGATATTCTCTACAATCACATGAAGTTGAATGTCAGTGACTCCTAAAACCATTCATCCATATACTTTAAATTAAATTTTTGTATATATAAATTGGCAGTGAAGCTATTTTCATATAGACAACGGCAACCCTGTATTAGTCTACTTTATTTACATTTTTCCTTTTTTTAATTGTGGATTTTTGAGACAGGGTTTCTCTGTGAGTAGTTCTGGCTATGCTAGAACTTACTCTGTAGACCAGGCTGTCCTCAAACCAGGCATGATCTCACTATTCAACCTTGGCTGATCTGGAACTCACAGAAATCCACCTGCCTCTGCCTCCCAAGAGCTGGAATCAATATTGTACATCATCACATCCAATTTAACATGTAGTTTTGATTTTTTTTTTTTTAGGATTTTTTTGTTTGTTTTTTAATCTGTGCATCCCTGGCTGTCCTTACTCTGTAGCTCATACTGGCCTGGAACTCAAAAGATCCACCTGTTTCTACCTCCTGAGTGATGGGATTAAAGGTGTGGGCCACTACCACCTAGTAATATGTACTCTTACAATAGATTTTTTTTTATGATGCTGAAAAAAAGATGATTGATAATTTTCATACTTAGAACTGAGCAATTCTATCAAGAAAGGGAAAACTGATTGTAGAGTATCACAGCTGCACAGACCCAACCTTGAAGAGCTATTTTCTCAAAGTTGAGAGCTCCAAACCACTTTGAAATTTGAGGCTAGGCATTGTCACTCAGTAGAAAAATACTGCCTAACATGTGAGTTCCCTCTTTAGATCCCCTGGACACCCTACCAAAAGGATATTCAGAACACAGAGTCCAGTTGTCCCAACATTCAGGATTAACATACACTAAGCCAGGTACTAAATACCAGTGAACACAACACAGCCATCAACAGAAGATGCAAACATACTAACACTGAAGTTTACATGTTCAATTTAAAAACAACGGAGTCATTTCTCCAGCCATGTTATATAACTCCTGCCCCAGGATTTAATATATTGAAGGTAAGAAATGTTAAATAATTTTAATCCAGATGGTGGTGGCACACACCTTTAACCCCAGCACTCAGGAGGCAAAGGCAGGCTGATCTCTGTGAGATCAAGGCCAGCCTGGTCTCCAAAGCTACACTGAAAAACCCTGTCGTAGAAAAAAAAAAAAAATTACCTTGGAATTATATTATTTGGCTAATTTTATTTCAATACAATATTCTAAAAATGTGGGGTAACAACTAGATGTTTTCTACAATTACTTTGTTTAAATTGTTAGACAAGGACTATAGAGAAATAGTTCAGTTAGGAGCACTGGCTGCTCTTCCAGGGGATACAGGTTTGGTTCCCTACACCCAGATAGCAGCTCACACCTATAACTCCAGTTCCAGGGATTTAGATGTCACCTTCTAACTCCCATGGACACCAGGTACAAAGTGGTGCACAGACACATATGCAGGCCAAATGCATGTAGAACATTTAAAAATTGTTAGGCAAATTCAAGAATAAACACTGCATTTAACTGTGTTTTTCCCCCCTTTGTCTGATTTCTTACTACTTACCATTTCTTTCTGGTAGAACAATTATTTAAAAATTGTTAGGCAAATCCAAGAATAAACATTGCATATTAACGCAGTATTTTTCCTTGTTTCTTACTACTTACCATTTTCTTTCTGGAATACAGTTTTCAGCTTTGGTACTTTACTAAAATCAACACGCTTGTACTCTTCATCTTCTTTCACCACCACATCTGGTTTACCTAAAATTGAGAAGCTAAGTAATCACCCAGTCAAGACAACAATTGGCCCCTCAGGAAGAAACTGTTACACGTGATACCTCAGACATGCTTTAAGCCATTCCAAGAAGTGTTCATCTAGAATGTGAAACCTTATCAACAACTCCCATTATTTCCCAACTCCCCCCCCCCTTTTTCATTTTTGAGGTGTGGTGTCTCTGTGTAACCCTGGGAGTGTTGGAGCTCAGTATGTACACCAGGCTGAACTCAAATGCACATATATCCTGTGCTGTGATTAAAGGCATGTGCCTCCATACAGTCTTCCCACCTCTCTTCTATGGTCACAGACCTCACTGTGTACTCCAAGGGTAGATGCCCAGCTAGTGCTGCATAGACCAGTGTTCTGTCACCAGGCACAGTGATCACTCTGGGAAGTAACCCAAACCGAGCAATGTGTTTGTACCATGGACTTAGTCCAGTGAAGCTGGTGAGAAGTCTCTGACTCTGAGCACAACACATGTGGCTCTAGAGGTGAATGCCATTCATCCTTCATTTCTGGAAGGAAACCCTAATAGGTTTCTAATATAAGTCCCTTTTAAAAAAATACTTTTTTGGGGTCAGTGAGATTGCTCAGCAGATAGTAGTACTTGCTATACAAGCTTGACAATCTGAGTTCAATCCCCAGAATCCATATAAAGGTAGAAAAAACAGAGTAACTGATTTCATAAAATTGTCCTCTGACCTCCACATGCAGGCAGGCCATGGAGCATATGTGTGCATATGCATACTAATAATAAACAAATGTAAGCATCACTGCATACACAGCTCAGTGGTTAACAGCATACACTAGTCTTCTAAGGGCTCAAGTTTGATTCTCAGCACCCATACCAGGCAGCTCACAACCTGTGTCTCCTGTGTCCAGCTCCATGAGCATCTAACACCTCAGGCATCTTCAGGCACCTAAACTCCTGCATATTAATCCATACACAAAACAGAATAAAATATTTAAAGATAAATTTAAGATATGCCAGCTAATATGCTGCCTATTCCTTACATGAGAAAGAATTCTAGTAAGAAAGAATGAATTCTACCAAGCCTGATGACCTGACTTCAGTCCCTGGAACACACATGGTAGAAGGCTACGCCACAGCATGCACATGCCACATAAGCACAAAAGCAAAGAAATAAATGTAGGAGGGATTTTACAGAAATAGTAAGTGTAGTGCACTGTTACCTAGATGAAATATTACCTCTGACCTGTAGCCCTTCCCTTTATTAAGCACAATTGTTAATGTGTTCAGCTCAATTGAACAGAGATAACATTTATTTAAAATGGAAACATCAACTCTACAATTAAAAGTTAAAATCTAGCCAGGCAGTGGTGGTGCATGCTTTTAGTCCCAGCACTTGGGAGGCAGAGGTAGGCTGATCTCTGTGAGTTCAAGGCCAGCTTGGTCTACAGAGTGAGTTCCAAGACAGCCAGGGCTACACAGAGAAACCCTGTCTTGAAAAACAAAACAAGTAAATCAACAAAAACCCACACAAAAAAGTAAAATCTAACTAAGAAAAGACAAATGTCTAAAAACTGGAACTCTATTTTGGAATGTCTCCTCTACCTTTTACTGAGACGGTGACAGGAATGACTTCATGAGCAAACTTCCCTGCATCCCAGGCTTCTTTACTTCTGCTGTAAGAGCTGATGGCGTAAGTGTCCTGCTCGCCTCGGGCAATACTCAGCTTCTTTGCAGTATTCTCAGCACAGTTACCCTGAGAGATGTGAAAAATTACCTTTACATAACTCAATGGTTAGGAGTTCAATTCCATCTCTGTAAATTCCCTTCCTCTATTCTGGCCACTTCTCCTTTGTGGTTTTGTCCTCAAATAGTTGCAGGAAAGAAACAGAATTGCCATTTTAGGAGAAATACCTCATTCAAGTGTGGAGCAGCTTTTTAGTAGGTGCTAAAGAAATGGACAAGGTTTTTTTAAAAAATGGTTTTTTTTGAGGCAGGGGTTCTCTGTGTAACAGCCTTGGCTATCCTGGAATTCACTCTGAAGAGAGGCTGGCTTCAAACTCACAGGCATTTGCCTGCCTGTGCCTCCCAAGTGCTGTGATTAAAGGCATAAAGCACCACCACCAAACTGTAAAATACTTTTATAAAGTGAATGACTAAGCATTTATAGAACCCACCCTAAAACTCAGTATTTAAGCTAATATGTGTTATGCTAAGTCAAGGGTTATGTATTAAGTGTCACTCTCTATCAAAGCAGCATTTGGAGGTCTGAGAGACCTCAGCAGTAGAGAGCCCAGACTGTTCCTCCAGTGTACCCCAGCTAGATGCTCTGGTCAGGTGCCTCAAACCCACCAACTCCAGCTCCTAGGGATCTGGCACCCTTTGGCTTTTATGAGCACCAACATACACATATACATTTCTTAAAATTAGCACTTACCATATGAATTTTATTGTAGACATCAGTCAGCCCATCTTTCACAATCAGGTCTTCGAGTTTTATCCCACCATATGGTGTTGCTCCTCTGCTCATTACATATGGGACATTTGACATGCTCTCCATCCCACCTGCCACCATCACATCCTGCTCAGCAACACAACAAAGCCAAGGTCAGTTCAGAATTGCCCATCTATTGGACTCTATATGTACAACTATCAACAAATGAGTATTCAGCATGGCTTTAATAACCATAGTTACACAATGAATGCCCTCTTTACCACTTGATCCTGATTACAAGAAAATGGTTTAAAATGTTCAATGACAAGAGTAAAATTAAAAGTTGAATATGGTGGTATACATCTATAATCCTAGCACTTGGAAAGCTGAGACAGGAGGAACAGGAATTCAAGGTACATAGTGAAGATGAGGACAGCATGGGCTAAATGAGACACTGTTTCAGAAAACATAAATCAAACAAAGAAAAAGATAATCTGACAAGGAAGCTGGGGAGTGGTGGCAAATGCCTTTAATCCCACAGGAGGCAGAGGCAAGTGAATTTCTATGAGTTCGAGACCAGCCTGGTCTACAGAATGAGTCCCAGGACAGCCAAGACTACCCAGAGAAACACTCTCAAAGAAAAAGAGAGAGAGAGAGAGAGAAAGAGAGAGAGAGAGAGAAAAAAAAAGAATTAGACAAAGCATTTGATAACTTCCAACACTTTAAATCCTCACTCAGTAATTATTTAGGATTTATTTTTAGTGTTTTCTCTTTTTTAAAAAAGTTTGTTTATTATGTATATAGTATTCTGACTGCATGTGTCCCTGCAGGCACCAGATCTCATTACAGATGATTGTGAGCTACCATGTGGTTGCTGGGAATCAAACTCAAGACCTCTAGAAGAGCAGCAATTGCTCTGAGCCATCTCTCCAGCCCTATTTTTAGTATTTTCAAGCTGTCTTTTACACTGTTCTGTTCTTATAAATCCTAAGTACTCAAGAGAAAATTATCAGATTTAGTAACAAGTTTCACACATATCAACCTGCCCAAAGTTTCTCCACTTTTATGTAGCATCCAAACTGATGGTACTTGGGGGGGGGGGTGGCTGTGAGGTTAAAAAAAAAAAAGATTCGTTTTATGCTTTCTATAACTGTGAAGTCTGCAGGATGTGGACATGCTGTTTGTGTCACAGTAGCTCAGACCTCATTGCACCCTTTTATTCTCTGAAAGGGAGCATGGAAGTATGGTTTTATTATTTTCTTGTTTACATTTTCTGTATGTTACATGTATGAGTGTTGTGCAATATTAGTTTAAGATGTGTTACATTTATTTATGCTGAGGAATATTTGTTTAATGATGCAAAGATGTGTTGCAGTCTTTTTTTTTTTTTTTTTTTTTTGTAACCAAAACTTTAATCCCAAGGATTCTTACAAACATATTACAAATAACAGCATGAAAAAGAAATCTTGCACAGTAACTCAAAGGTTCAGCTCTACAATGTACCCTTACACTGATAGGACACTGGTAACTTAAAGTCTTCCATTTCCAAATAAAGAATGTTGCAGCTATGCGTCCATATATAGTAATCAGTAAGGAACCTCTGAAAGTCTTCAGGGTGCAGTTCCCATCCTTTACCTGTTAGCTGGTAACAGCTTTTAAAGACTGCCTATCATTTTACCCACAGCTCTACACCATATCCCAGCTACTAGACAAACTAGAGCTTTATTCCATTTCCACCAGTGGTTTCTGTATCATTAGCACATCACACTTTAACTGGGCAGGATCTAGGTTTATTTCAGTCTATGAAAAACTAAAGTTCAAAGCAAATTTGAACAGCTAAAAACATCTTAAAAATGCACCAAGATTATGAAGTCTCAAACAAAACTTGAATTTCCTGTACATACTCCTGTCAAATGAAGTTATTTCCTGTACACCACTTCTTTAGCAAGCTGGTCTTCTATTTCCTTTCATTTGACCTAGATCAGCTACGAGACCTAGAGAAAGACCGAGATGGCTTGTGGTTTCTCTCCCGAGACAGAGACCTTTCTCTTCTCCTATCTCTAGAAAGTGACCTGCTCCGGCTTCGAGAGAAGCTTCTCCTTCTTGGAGATCTTCACCGAGGTGGAGGACTCCTCCTTCGATAATCATCTCAAGGGCGACGGCCCCAAGAGGGCGGCAAGCCACGATTGCGACTTCTTTTTTCACCATTCGACAGTTCCACTCTCACACGACAGTTCTTCCATCCAGCTCTCGGACAGCATCAGCTGCATCTCGGGGATCCTCAAATTCAACAAAAGCAAAGCCAGGAGGGTTCCGAGCAACCCACACACTTCGAAGTGGTCCATAATAGCCAAAAGCCCGCTCTAGTTCAGTCTTGTTCCCATTGTTTCCAAGATTACCTACATACACCTTACAATCTAGTGGACAGGAATCACGATGCATTTCGAGATCCTGGGTTCAAACACCAAGGTTCAAACCCCAACACTCTGTCAGGCCCACCCGCGCACTTCAGGATCTGCTTTAGCAGATGCTTTCCGTTCCCTGGCGTCCACGAAATGGCCGTGTTGCAGTCTTTTATGTTACTTTTTTTGTTTTGTTTTGTTTTGTTTTTCGAGACAGGGTTTCTCTGTCCTGTAACTCATTCTGTAGATCTGTAGATCAGGCTGGCCTTGAACTCACAGAGATCCAGCTGCCTCTGCCTCCTGAGTGCTGGGACTAAAGGCTTGAGAGGTGAGAGGACACCAAGGCTGGAACTCCGATGCCCTCATTAATAATTTAAGTTAGAAAAGCTGGCAAGAAACAATCCAAGTTCAAACCAGGCATTCATATGTAAGAATAAGCCTCTGTATACTTATTTGGGAGTTCAGTGGTGGACCCCCAAAGACTAAACATAAGCCAACTACATATGAAAGTTTTGCCTGCATGTACACCATGTATATATACATGCCTGATAACCTAGAACTGGAGTAGAAATGATTGGGAGCCATGTGGGTGCTGGAAACTGAGCACATGCCCTCTGGAGGAGCAGCCAGTGCTCTTAATACTGAGCCATCTCTCCAGTCCAAGTATGTTTTTCATATATGTCACACTGACTTTTAGCCTGGTTATCAAACACAGTGGTACACTAGAATGTCTAGAAATAAAGAAATTCTCATAAAGATCACTGTTTGTCTCACTTTAGCCCCAAAACTTTGTATCTTGATACTTCAGTATGGTTCCTTCTGAAAATTGATGAAGTGTTAGTTATTAAAGTCCAGACATGGCCAAAACACAGCCTCTGATGACCACAGCATTCACTGAACAGCCTCTCTCTTCCTCAGTCTTAGACAAAGATAAGATTCCAATCAACAGGCCTCAAGCTTGCAATCCTCCTGTGTCTGCCTCACAAATGCTAGAATTGGACATTGTTTAACAGAAGAGGATCTCAGAGCTGGTGTTCAGTTTCTAGCACCCACATCAGACAGATTACAAGGACCTGTAACTCCAGCTCCAGGGATCCAACATTGTCTTCTGGCTTCCATGGGTGCCTACCCACATGTGGCCTTCACTCACACAAGTAGGCATACATAAATGAAAATAAATCTTAAAGAAAAACAAAGGGAGCTGGAGAGATGAACAATATTTAGGAGCTCTTACTGGTCTTCCAAGGACCTAGGTTCAATTCCCAACACTGAAAAGGTGTTTCAGATTCAGAACCATTCAATAGGCTAGCCAATATTCTTTTCTGACCTCCATGGGCACCAGACATCCATGTGGCACACATACATACACGCAGGCAGAATACTCATACACATAAAAATAAAACCTTTAAAAAGGAGTGAGAGGCTAGAAATGTGGGCCCAGCAGTAAAGAGCATGTGTTGTTCTCCACAGGATCTGAGTTTGATACCCTGCATCCACAGAGTGGCTCATAACTGTCTGTAACCCCAGTCCCAGGGGATCCAGTGCCCTCTGCATACATGCGGTTCACAGACACACAGTTATACATGCATACAACAGAAATAAAGAATGAATCTTACCAATACAGCAGCATCAATGTGCTTAGACATTTACCATTTTCTAGGATTTGAAATTATTTTAAGTGACAGATAAAACAAGATGTTTCTTACCTGATGTCCACACATAAGGTTTTGAGAGGCCATCATGATGGCTTTCATTCCTGAAGCACAAACTTTGTTTACCGTGGTACATGGAGTGGAAATTGGTAAACCTAAAGTCAACATAAATCATACTTTTGAAAAACAGGAACAGTCATTTTTTTCATAATCTACAAATTTTATTTTCTATAAGTATCATGCATTTACTAATTTAGCTGAAATGACCTTAATATTTTCAAGAATATTAAGTATTAAAGCAAATGTGTGTTCACCGTACCTGCACCCAATGCTGCTTGCCTTGTAGGGGCCTGTCCTTCACCCCCTTGGATAACATTCCCCATGTAGACTTCCTTCACTTCTTCTTTTGGGATCCCTTTTAAAAACAGCAAAAAGGAATGTCCTTGATTAATTTCTTTTTAAGATTTTGTTTATTTTAATTTTATGCATATAGGTGTTTGCCTGTATACCATATGCATGCAGCAAAGGGCAGAGAGTCATCTGGAACTCAAGCTGTAGACATATGAGCTGCCATGTGGGTGCTGGAAACTGAACCCAAGTCCTCTGGAGGAGCAGCCAGTGCTCTTAACCCCTGAGTAATCTCTCCAGTACCAATATTCAATTTAATAATTAAGATTACCAAACAAGTTCCTCTCAGTTTTGAGTTTCCTTCCTATTGAGTACAAGGGAATTTGAATATGTAGGAACCATGTAATTTCTAAGTTATATATACAGTAAATGCAAAACTGTAGTTGATTTTTTATTACTCCTTACTCTTTACTCTTTTAGGGGCCTACCACCCAGCTCCCGAATAAATCACACAGTCTTATTCTTTTTTATTTTTTATTTTATAAATGCCCAGCCTTAGAGTGTCTTATTTCTTGCCAACTTTTCTTAACAACATACCCTGTGTACCTTTTGCCTTGGGGCTTTTTTCCTTTTCTTACTACTGTGTCTCTTACTTTCAATCTTACTATGGCCTGGCTGGGTGGCTAGGGTGGCTAGGGTGCTGGGTGATTGGCCCTGACGTCCTCCTCTCCTTCTTCAATCTTGTTCCATCTATTCCTGCCAGCCCCGCCTATCCTTTCTGCTGCTTAACACTATTGGCTGGTCAGCTCTTTATTAGACCATCAGGTGTTTTAGACAGGCAAAGAATCACAGCTTCACAGGGTTAAACAAATGCAGCATAAACAAAAGCAACACACCTTTACATTGTTAAACAAATGTTCCAGAGCATAAACAAATGTAACACAGTATTCTACAACACAAAACAATTATGTGTCCCCTAGTCATTTGCCCCTCAACTCCAAACAATGCAATCACTGACCTGCCTTTTCAATGGCTCCCTGAATTGCAATAGATCCAAGCTTAGTGGCTGGCTGAGAAGCAAGGCTGCCCATGAAAGATCCAATGGGAGTTCTTATACCACTTACTATAACTACTTCCTGGCAAGGCAGAAAAAGGTAAAAATTAGCATAGATATACTCAAATCCCATTTCATTTAATAAAACATTCATACCCAGGCCACTTATGAATAATTAGCAAGGATTAAAATAATATTTGAGGACCTGGAAAACACCATGACACACCACAATTTAAGGCACAACAGACATGAATGAGGTATGGTAGAGTGCTTGTCTAGCATGCACAGGAACCTGGGTTCAGTACACAGTGGCTGGGGTTGGGGAGGCACAGTGTGGACACAACAGAGAGAATGAACAAAGTGGAGGAAGAAATCATGGCAAATTCTAAAACAGACATGAAAACCCTTCCCAGTTCTCCCTGAGAGGTTTAAGGCTAGAAGCTTAAATTCTAATTTTGCTCAGTCAAAACCTTAAAAACTGGGGTAGTCAACGTGGCTCATCAGGTAGAGGACTTTGAATGCTCCCCTTACAACCTGAGTCTGAGCTCAAGGAAAATGTCCTTGAGGTTGTCCTCTTACTTCCACATGTATATGTACAAACAGGAGAATGCATATGTGCATAAATATATACACACATATGCACACATACCATGCATGCACAAACCCCAGATAAAACTTCTCCCAGACTCTTGTTTTATATTTATTTGTTTGTTTATTTATTTATTTATTTATTTATTGTCTATTTGTTTTGCTTTGGATCCTGTCCTGGAACTTGCTCTGTAAACCAGGCTGGCCTCTGCCTCCTGAGTGCTGGGATTAATATTTGTTTTGTTTTGATGACATGTAACTCTGGCAAGTGTGGAACCTGATATGTAGTCCTGACTGGCAATGGAATCAGAGTTGTCTGCCTCTGGCTCCTAAGTGCTAGGATTAGGGTTATACACCATATCCAGCAATGATAAGGTTTTAAAACCAGTAACTTGGATACTTGGAATTAAATTCAGGTCCTCTGGAAGAGCAGCAAATGCTCTTAACCACTTAGCCATTTCTCCAGTGCCATTCACTAATAAATCTTTTAAGATAAAAAATAAACAACACTAACCAAAATCTCCTTTACTGAAGAAAACTCTGGGCTAGCAATCCAGATATGTAGGCTACATGGGACAGTATCAATAAGGAGATAGCCATAACCATGATTTCCTAAACTACAAAATAAGAAAAGATAGTTAAAAATCCTCAACACTATTAAATACATTTTCCTCACATTTGGATTCTACAATCCATTACTAATCATTAGATGTATTAAAGGATAAAAAGATTTGGTGTCACTTTGGGAACAAATAAGCAAAGGCAAAAAAAAAGTAACTAGAAAATGAAGTAAAGGCCTTCTGGTCTACCCCAAGTAGTCAGTCCTTCTCTTGTCAAATCTCCCACATGTCCACTGCTTTGCACCACCCACAATGCAATGGGAGCTCCTCATATTAAAGGAAGAATACACCACAGTTTTAGAGGAAAACTGTTTTGTAGTGTGGATTATAGAGAATTATTCATGAACTGAATGAATGAATTTTTGTGAAAATACAGAATTTAGTATGTGCATTGCTACAAGTTTTCCCTAACTGCATAATTCTGTTAATCTTCAAATACATTCAAAACATAGATATATGCAACTGTGCTTTGGTTTGTTTGCTTGAGATAGGGCTAGAAATCCTCAAGCCTGTAGCTTCACCTTCCTGAGAGCTCACACTGCAAGCATGAGCCACCATGCCTAACCACATGTTTGTCTCTACTGGCAACAGTCCTTTAAATTCTTGAAATATAAGGTGCAGTTTACATTTATACTTACATTCAAAGTGGGTTTAGATGCATAACTTCGACCCAGGCATCTTACTTCCTGTAAGATAAATGTTTATGTTATAATATTTTAAAATTCATCCTTTAATTTCATACTTAGCAAATATGAAATAGAATTATTTAAAACTAATAATACATTTTCTTCATTTTTTACACTTATTATTTTCAAGTTTTACACACTGTGTACACACCACTTTTATAAATCATAAAGAAAATGATTACAATAAAGATTACTTTTCTGATAAGCTGTTCATTGGAAACATACTTTTTTACTTCTGAAAAATTGCCATTTTAAAACTTTTTTTTCGGTTTTTTTGAGACAGGCTTTCTCTGTATTGTTTTGGAATCTGTCCTGGAACTTGCTCTAAAGACCAGGCTGGCCTCAAATTCAAAGATCCTACTGCCTCTGCCTCCCAAGTGCTGGGATTAAAGGTGTGTGCCATCAATGTCTAGCTTTTTAAAACTATTTTAATGTTATGTATTTTTATGTGTATGGGTATTTTGTTTACATATATGTCTGTATACCACATTCATGTGGTGCCCATGGAGGACAGGAGGCATCAGATCCCCTGGGACTGGAGATATAGATGGTTGTGGGGTGTGAGGAATTGAACTCAGGTCCTCTGTAAAACAACCAGAGCTCTTAACCACTGAGCTATTTTCTAGCCCTTAAAACTGTTTAAGTAAACATAACAACAAAAGATTCCTAATTATAAAGTAAATAATTACTACAATTTTGTGGTTTTGTTTGGTGGGTTTGTTTTGAGGGTTTTGTTTTCTGGTTTTGAGACAAGATTTCATGGAAACCAGGCTGGCTTCAAACTCACTCTATAGTGAAAGACGACACTGAACTTGTGAATCTCCTGCCTCTTTGCTTCCCAAATGCTGAGATTACAGACTTGAGTTAACTACCATGTGTGGGGTTTTGGAGATGGGGAATCAAACCCAGGGCTGTGTGCATACCAAGAAAGCACCTTCCTTTATAGATAGCCCAGGCTTACCTCAAATTCATTAAGATCCAGGGTTGCTAAAACATTCCTCCTGCCTCAGCCTCCTGAGTAAAATAGAACTTAAGTTACATCTAAGTTCTTTTTTTTTCCCCCCGGATTTTTGAGACAGTGTTTCTCTGTGTAGCTCTGGCTGTCTTAGCACTGGCTCTGTAGACCAGGCTGGCCCCAAACCAAACTCACTGAGATCCACCTGCCTCTGCCTCTCAAGTGCTGAGACTAAAGGCATGTGCCACCATTGTCAGGTCTAAGTTCTTAATTATGTAATATTACAGGTTCACAGTTCCCATTGTTTAAATTTTTAGCAGGCAGGAGACTGTGGTTAAGAGGCTACTCTTTCAAAGGACCTAGACTGGGTTCTAGCATGCACATTGAGTGCTTCACAACTACCTGACTCAAGTTCCAAGAGATCCAACATCCTCTTAGGACTTCCATGGGCACCAACACACACACACACACACACACACACACACACTTTTAAAAAGACTACTTATTAAAAATTTATTTCTAAAAAGATTCAAGTAAAACTTGTTATTACTCCCCAAGCCCTTCCAGCAAGGCAAACACACCTTATAAAATATGGCCTATATTGCCAGGTAATTCTTAAGAAATAAAAGAGGGGACTTGAGTATAGCTCAGCAGTAGAATGAATGCCTGGTTTTGGTTGGCCCTCAGCACCACACTCAAAGGAACAAAAAGAAAAGACATCTTAATTCTTTCCACACTATTTGTAGAAGCAAATGTCAACAATGGAAATTCTGAAAATGTAGGGCAGAGTTCAAAGCCCTAACCGATCTGAAGTTGGAAACAAGGTTAGCAAGCCTACCATTCAAAACCACTGAATATATGAATGTCAACTGATAATTACAGTGTGCCGTTACAGCTCATGCAAAGAGCAAGAAATAGCCCACAAAGGTCTAGACTTTCAGGTGACCCAAGAACTTAGCTTTTCACAGATTAAACAAACACTTTGTGCTAACTGAATGCAGATAACTAAAAATTTCAGCTTGAAACTCAGAATAAACAAAGCATAAGTTTGTCAATGGAGTTATAAACAGGAACAGCTATGGTAACTGAACTGGTTTTCACAGTGAATGACAGAGGTACATACAAATAGCAGCTAGACACGGGCATATCTCTTAGAACAGAAGTGGCTCCACAGCAATGGTGCTTCTCAGTGTGTGAGAGGATATGGTAGAGAGATGCCATGCAACAACACCGATATACAAACAACTTAGTCTAGATTGATTTTAAAATATCAACACAGAATTTCAATGCCCTCTATTCCGAAGAGGTATTCAAGGTCTTCGTTGTGTCCTGGAAAGATGGCCAACATACATGAAACTATTTGATCCTTCTTTGGTCAACAAAACATTTGAGCTTACTTATCTTAAGAAGACATATAGAGTCTGAGATCTGTCACCATAGACTCCAGTAGCAATATAAGTTTGTAGAGAAGTGTCAAAATTACCTGGACATATTGCTTAGAGTTTGATAAGAACTACAAGAAGAGTACCATAAGGAAGCTACCCCTGGAGTTCTAAGGTGAAAGATTTCGTGGTTTGAGCAGTGGTCTTCAAATCCCAGGGCACCAGTACTGAGAAGCATGTTTCCTCCTACTGTTTAAATCTAATATTAACACAATACATGATACTAGTTGCTATCAAATTAAGCTGTTTGTTCTGACTCTGAAATAAAACAGCTACTATCTCTACACTTGTTTTAAGGACTGTTGTAGAATCGGCCTCCAAGACCAAGATGGTCATGAGACTCACCGCCTTCCTCAAGAATGTCTGGGCGAAGGGGCCAGTGCTGGTGGTGTCTTTCTCAGTCTGGGGCCTTGCTATAATTATACACATAATCAACCCCTACACCAAGTATGCCAGCATGATCAACAGGGTCACACTCTACAAGTACCCAGTGCCTGTTCGAGATGATGGGAACACGCCCCATGTGCCCAGCCTGGAATGGCTGAAGAAAACTGTGAATGCTCCTGCTGATGGAATACTTCCCTGTTGCCCCCCCCAATAAAAATGTGAAAGCCAAAACAAAAACAAAAAAAAACTGTTGTAGAGTCTTACTACCAGAGCCCCCCCACTTCAGACTCTCAAGTGCTAGAACAACAGGTATGACACCAAACCCAATCCTGTATCTGTACTTCTTAAAGACTGTCATTAAGTTAGGAAGGTACCTGTTTGTTTTTACTGTCCTGAGCTTAACACAACCCTTAAGGGACAGTACACACAACCATGACCAGTAAACATATCTATGCTCAAGAAGGCAAGGCCCAAGTGTATCTGTTCAATGGCTGTACTCCTTAACATACCCTATACATATAAAATTCATACTGTTGCTTATATGTAATCTGCTTGTCTACTGTCACACTGTCTGCAATATAATGCTGAATAAAAATCATGATATGGTAAATATGCCAGTCTTTGCTACCAGCCACACTCTTCCTTCTTAAGGGGCAGCCTTAAGTCCCTACAAGGCAACTCCATCACCAGCTCTGAGAAGAGCTGATGGCAAGAATGGACTAGACTTATCCGGCTGGCATCCTGAGAGCCTGGGTCACTTGACAATGAATGGGTACTTGGTCTGAATCACTATGAGGGGTTGAAGCCAGTCAGACTTCAGTCAGCCATCACCGTGTAAAAGCAGAGGTTAGAGACCAGAGAGAAAAGCCACAAGTGCAGAGAGGAAGAAAAGAACAGCACAAACATTCTCAAGAAATGGGGGTGTGGCACACTGCAAGAGGCAGCAGATTCCATGGTTAGTGATTCTCTGCATAGGGTCTAGTAAAGCCAGCTGCACTTGTTTCCTATCCTTGACTGTCCAAGAATTTTTTTTATTAATTTATGAATTTGTGTATTATATCTCTTCAAGCAGTTCCCTTTCTGAATGGTGTACTTAGTGGTAGAGTGTATGCTTAATACACAAAAGCCCCTGGCTGTAATCCCAGCACCACCCCCAAATAATGCCCTTAGCTACTGTAAAGTGGGGTTGTATCCATCTTTACTCGTTCCTTTCTTGCAATTGTCTGGTTCATTTTTACTGAATGGTCCCTGTGTGTGGCTCCCATGCCTCATGAATCCTTTCCTATATTGTACGGCATTCCTCCCTCTTCCTTCTGGATCATTCCATATGTGTGCAAATGCATTCTTGTCTGCCTCCTTTATCTCCAGCACACATGACAGTGAACTCTGACATTTCCCATATTGCCTGCAATGTCTCCTTGCCCTTGCTTCCTGTTATCTTTGTCAGTTTACCATTGTTGGCTCTAGGTAGGCAAGGTCAACACTGTCTGTGGAGCAAAATCAAATAAACACTTCAGAGGCTGTACAGAGTAGCAGTGGGATCCAGACATGGCCACGGTTCTCCATCCTGGATTAACATCTGTATATCCTGTTTAGTAAGTGGTTGTACATGTGCACATGCAAAGCTATTTTTATAAAATGTATGCATACATATTAATAAGTGTGGCTATGTATCCATGTATGTATGTGACTGTAGTCACTATCCTGAGTATGTGACAGAAAACAAAGTTTACCTTTATGGACTTGTATGCACTGACACTATCACCATTTATACTTTTAAAAAATTATATTAATTTAAAAAATAAATGTTTAACTGTAATCTTTTTCAACCTCAGCAACACTGGACTCTCCTTTCTTCTTTGGGAAATATCAGCCTGTTTTTACTGAGTACTTCACAGTAAACCATGTAGACTAACTTTACTTGGGGTTTTTGTTTTTGTTTTGTTTTGTTTGTGACAGGGTCTCACTATGTAGCCTTGGCTGGACTGAAACTCACTATGTAGATCAGGCTGAACTCAAACTTACAGTGCCTCTACCTCCTGAGTGCTGGGATTAAAGGTGTGTGTCGACATGTAGTGCAACTTCTTTTTTTAAAAAAAAAAATTAAACCTTTAGAGTGTGTGCGTGTATATACAGTTACCATGGCACACATGTGTAAGTCATTGGGAGTTAACTGAGTGAAGCAGAGTCTCTCGTTTCTGCCACTGTGGCTGGCCCAAGAACTTCCAGGCAGTTCTCCCACCTCCATCTCCCATCTCGCTGCAGGAGGATGGGAGTACAAATGTGCACAACCACATCCAGTTTTTAATGTGAGGCCAGGGATCTGAACTAAGGCTGACACTTTTGCCCACTGAGCCATCTCTCTGGCTCAGCTGGTTTATTTTTATTCTTCATGTCTAAGCCAAGTGGCAAACCCTATAGTATCTTCTTTAATCACTTTATTAAGTTAGGCCACCAAGGATGATAGCACACATGTAATTCCAGAATTAGGAAAGCAGAGGCGGGTAAAGTACAAGCTGGAGACTAGCATGGGCTATATAGTGAAACTGTCTCAAAATTAATAACAATGGAAGAAGGAACACTGAACTATGTAATAAATGAATAAAACCAGTTCAGGCAAGCCCAGTTCAGCCTCACAGCCAACCCAGGAACGCGACCTAACCAGACCTGGCAGAGGAGGGACTTCTATCTTGCTTCCATAGTATCCTACGCACATTCTTCTTCTCTCTCTCTCTCTTTCTTTCGTGTGTGTGTGTGTGTGTGTGTGTGTGTGTGTGTGTGTGTGTGTGTGTGTGCGCTCACACATCGAATGTTTTGACTGTGTTTTATGTGCATAATAAACATGCCTGGTGCCCAAGAAATCAGAAGGTGCCAGATCCCCTGGAACAGATGTTACAGATGGGTTGTTAGCTACCACATAGGTGCTAGGAACCTAACCCTTGTCCTCCACAAAAGCTGCCATTGCTCTTAACCACTATAGCCATCTCTCTAGACCCTTTAAAAACTCTTACATTTATTTTATTTGACCTGTGCACACTCTTCTTGCTTCTCCATGATATGACTGTTTAACTTGAGATGGCCCTACTGCCTTCCCACTACATAGTGATTGTGTTTACTTATCTCTGTGACAGCTGCAGGTGCTAAACAAGCATCACAACAAAGACTGATATTTACTAACAAGGCTGAAAAACAAAATCCAAGTAATATCTTAAGAAAGCAGCAAAAACAAGAGGTGAGGAGTGACTGCAGCATATTTACATTACAGAGTGAAATGCCTCTCCTCAGCGTGGTTGGAGAATGAATGCCTCATATTGACTACTTGCTCCTGTCTTTTATATCTCCCCCCCACATGCTGGAATTAAAGGTGTGGACTATAATTCTCTTTGAGACTGATTCAATCTGGTGTAGACCTGGGTGGCCTTAGACTCACAGAGATCCTGCTACCTCTTAATCCTGAGTCCTAGGATTAAAGGTGTGTACCATCACCTCTTAAGCTTCTGACTGCTGGTATTAAAGGTTTGTGTCACTGCTGCCTGGTCTCTATATCCTGAGGCTGTCTTTCTGAATCTTCAGTCAAGCTTTAATAACTCATAGATATCACTACACTTACACTCAGGAAGAGCGGTGGGCAGGGCTGAGAGCAGAGTTCAGTGGGAGAACAGTTGCTGAGGCCCCAACGTCACTCCTCAGGTCTAAACAGAAAAAAAGCAGTGCTGGGAAGAGACACACTTAAGTCACCAGGACCCAGAGGAAAAGAATATTGAGAAGACCCTAAAGCCAGGTCTAAGAGGGCAGGAGACTCACTGACTCTCAAATTATATTTGATACTGTGCAGCAATCCCTCCTTAAAACTCCTATTCTAGACTTGGACCAGATTTTATTCTGGTTGCACTGGTTTCACTATACAGCCCCGGATAGTCTCAAATCCACAATCCTTCTGCCTCAACTTCCTCAATAAGTAATAACATACAGATGAACTCTACTACAACAGGTCAGGCTAACTATTTTCGTGCAGAATGTAATTTGTACTTTGTTATACAGTCTTAAACTCTCACTAAGAAGGCTCTGCACACTTTGGTTTTGACACACCTCAAGTACCTGGCTTGTCTAATTCATCTAGGTAACATTATTTGTAATCTCAGTTAACCCGATTTCACTGTAATTCCTCTAGCCATCCCAATGGAACCAACAAGCTTATCAAGGACTCCTCTAGGCATGATGGCCTGCTCTTTCAATTCCAGATAATCCAGAGGCTAAAATAGGGGAATGCAGAATTCAAAATCTGACCTACACAGCAATACAAAGTGTAAAGGGAGAAGGGAGGGAGGTAGGAAGGAGAAAAGATAGGAGAGAAGGAGGAGGCAAGGAAAAGGGAGGATTAGGAAGAAAAAGACACTAATGTCTTTCTTGAGAACACTTATTTTAGAGGTGAGGTACTGCCCATGTCCAGAATAGAAAATAAACCATGCATCTGGCTTACCTATTATCTCAGTTGTTCAGGATTTAATTTTTTTCTTTTTAATCTTTCTGAGACTGGGTATCCCCAAATTACCCACATGGGTTGGAACCCTAGAGCTCAAGCTCCTCCCACCTCGGCCTGTGGCCTGTCTGGAACTGCAGACACCAGCAATTCAAGTAAGATTAATTTTATAGTTCGCTTTCCCTCAGCCCCCACTCTCCGCCACAGTCCTCATGCCCTGCATTATTCTTTCGCAATCTCTTGCATAGCGCGGCTCTCTTGATTTAGCTTCTACTGCCAAAACTACCCAGTTCCATGAATCCTGATTATTATAGAAACAAAAAATGTCGACTGTCCAGGCCTAACTGCAGTCTCCCAGAAACGTAGGTAGGTGGATTTCAAAGCTTCCTGTTGCAATCAAACTGTAAACGTCAAGCTTCATAACCACGTTATAAAATTCCTCACCCATTCCTAAGACCATCAGGCATTTTCTGGAATGCAACGCTTGCAAAATAAATTCTTGCAAAAGGTCTGTCACTATAGTGTTCCCCAAACACAACAAGCAAAAAAGAGGCACTCGCTCCAAATATAATTTCTTGTACTGTATGAGTAGCCATCTTGTTAGCTTTAAAGAGCAACTGTATGGTATCTTTTGATTGTCTCATAATGCCTCCGTTCTGATAAGATCAATAATTAAACCAACGATCAGCAATCGTCTTTTTAAAAAAAAAGGTAAAGACAATAAACTCAGTCACTCTCTGGACAATAAACTTACAAGTATGCTTTAAAGAACGGTTCCGAAACTCCTGGGCCTGTAAAGAGACTCGGCTCGCTACAGCCTGGGATCGCACCTGGCGAGGCAGACCTTGCTGCCCCGGTCGCTGTGACAGCAGCACAGACGGACACGGGGACACACAGTTCCGAGGCGCGCATGGTGGGCGCGGTTGCCGGCCCCAGGTGGCTCTGGGGGGGCATTGCCGGAGGGCGAAACCTTGTACGGACTGGGGCGGGATCCCCCGGAATTGACCCAGCTCACCTGCAGCAGCCCCAGAAGCAGAGGCCGGCGTCGTCCGCCGCAAAGAGCCGCCAGAGCAGCCATGGTGCCTCAAAGGGTTGTCAAGGGCAGAGAAATGCACCGTGGCTTCCTTCTCACACGGGAGACCCCGAGACCTCGCAGCGGGCACGCCCCAGGTCTGTCCTCCAATAGAAACCCGAGATCGCAGCGCTAGCTGAGGATTGGCCCGCAGCCAGGGGGCGGGGTCTGGCGCGGGACAAAATTAACTAATGACCAACGTGGCTGGTCTGCTTTTGACCTCTTGAGGCCTGTGATTTCATTACAGCCTAAGACTTTCCATTCACTTAGCTGCGCCTGACCATGTGACCATGTTTACCCAGACAAAAGATATTGGTAAATGTTTCCAGCAATTCCATTTTTATTCATTTATAATACAAATAAACCAATTACTTACGTTAAGAGAATTTTGAAGTTGCTTCTTCTGTAGGGTACGAAATAAAATGAATGTTAAATCAACTTCCACAGAATCTCCCTGCAAAATGGTTGTGGTGGCAAACACTGAGGAGAAAGGCAGGTGATCTTTGAGTAGTTCTGGGCCAGCCTGATCCACATATTGAGTTCCAGAACAAACAGAGAAGCTGTCCCAGAAGAAATTAAAGCCAAACAAACAATAAACCCTCCGTGCATTAATTTATGTTAGTTAAATAATTATTCTGATTTATGGAACCCACTGCAGACATTGGGGGTTTGTTTTTAGACAGTCTCACTATGTAACTCTGGCTGTAGATCAGGCCTGCTTTTGCCTCTCTAGTGTTAGGATTAAGAGCAGGTGCCAGCCACTATGCCTAGCACTGACTATTAATCTTCAGCATATCTTTGACTTATAACACTAATTTTGCTTTGTTAATTCTCATAAAAATAAAAGGTATGGCAACATACAAGTAGAAAAACTTACTTCAAGCCAACCTATTTTGTCTATGTAGTTGTATGCACTGTGAAGTCACTTGGGCAACTCCATTGTTCTCTGCCTTATTTTTGTTTTGGTTTTCTTTTTGTTTGTTTTTTGAGACAGGGTTTCTCTGTATTGCTTTGAAGCCTGTCCTGGAAACTAGCTCTGTAGACCAGGCTAGCCTCAAACTCAAAGAGATCTGCCTGCCTCTGCTTCCCGAGTGCTGGGACTAAGGGCATGCACCACCAACTCCCGGCCTTTGTTTTAGGACAGATTTCCTCTGTGTGCCACCACTGCTGTTTTTTGTTGTTGTTGTTGTTTTGTTCTTTCCTTTTTTTTTTTTCTTTTTCTCTTTTTCTTTTTTTGAGGCAGGGACTATCATTGCACCTGGAGCTCACTAGACTTACTGGCCAATAAGCTTATGTCCCCACTCTTCTTCCTGACCCCACCCATGGAACTGGGAATACAATTAAGGGCCACCACACCTGGACCTCAGTGCTGAGGATCTAAACTCAGATTATCTTCCTTGTGAAGCGAACATTTTGCAAACTGAGTCATCTCCTCAGCCCTTTTAGGAGTGAGCTGTAAGTGTGTGTGTATGTTCCTGCATTTGTGTGTAAGCACCATGTGCTTGCAGGTGCCTGAGGAGGGTAGCAGAGGGTGTCAAAACACCTGAAACTTAAGTCATAGGCACTTGTGAACTGCCTGGTGTGTTTTGGGAACTGAACCCAAGTCCTTTGTAAAAGCAGCAAGTATTCTTAACTGTTGAGTCAAAAATCCCTGCTTACCTTGTTTTAAGAAACAAGTCTCATGTAGGACAAGATGGTCTCAGACCCACCAGGTAGTTAAAGGTGACCGTGCTATTTCTACCTTTAGATTGCTGGGAATACAGGTGGGTGTAAAATCTATATAAATGTTATATAATCTAGGCTAGTATTGTAACTAAGCTATGTCTGCAACCTGTTTTCATTGTCATTCATGTGGAGATCAGAGGGAAACTTGCTGGAGTAGGCTCTCTCCTTTCACAACCATCAAACTCAGGTTACAGGCTTGATACCAAGCACTTTCCCGACTAAGCCAACTGTACTGACTTAGGATATTATCTATCTTTAGTTATCGTTCCTTAGCTACGCATGGAGGTGCATACCATTAAATCCAGCATTTTGGAAATTGAGGTAGGCTTATTTGTGAGTTCAATGCCACCCTGTTCTACAAACCCAATTCCGGACAACCAGGGCTGTCCTGTCTCAAACAATTTTTCCTTACGACTTCTATCTTTTTTTATATTTACATCCTTTTTATTTTGTTTCAGTAGCATTTTTCCTTACTACTTCTATCTTTTTTATGTTTACATCCTTTTTATTTAGTTTCAGTAGCTCATAGGTGTCTATTATAGATTTTTTCTAGATTTTCGAACTTGCAAGAATATAGGTTTTCAGAATGATCCTGACACTGATTTATGTTATATACTGTTTTCCCCCTTTGGCTATTCAGCTGTCGTTCCTGTTAATTTTTCTTTTCATAGAAATATTGTACCTTTTCTTTGTTTCCACTTAGGGTTTTTGCTTGTTTTATTGAGACAGGTTTTCCTTTGTAGCAGTGGTTTGGAACTCACTGCAGACCAGGCTGGTCTTGAACTTGTGGTGATAGTACTGCCTCAGCCTCACCTGTATTAGGATTTAATTTCTGCCCTGATTTTGTGATTTTGATGTTGCTATTTTTCTAAGACCTTGAAGTTCACCATTATTTGAGACCTGATTTAAAAAACATATTTCATGTGTCTGCACGTGTATCTAAGCACCAAATGCCTGGTGGCCACTGAGGTCAGAAGAAGGCATGGGAGACTTTGAAACTAGAGTTACAGATGGCTGTGAACCACCAGGCGGATGCTTGGAATCAAACCCAGGACCTAGGGAAATGCAACAAATACTAGCCCCTCAATGTTTTGTGAATATTGTGAAAATATGTGGTGACACACATTTAATCCCTGCACTCAGGAGAAGGGTGGATCTCTGTGAGTTCGAAGCCAGCCTGCCTACATATTGAGGTCCAGAACCGCTAGGGTAATATAGAAAGGCCCTGCCTCACAAAAAGATTAATTGCTTAGTCTAGCCCAGTAGATATTATCAGGATTCTGTTATATGGGAAAAGGTGTTATCTTTTTATTCTCTAGAAATGACTTTATGTGTAAATAATGGACAGGTGTTCTATCCATAAATTCTGTAGTATTTACTCAGTGACTGACCACACATGCTAGAGTAGTGCATTTGTGGAGTCAGATGACAACTTTTTGTGGTGGATTCCCTTGTCCCACTTCTATATAGGTTGTGGACAGAACACAGGACACTTGGCTTTCACAGCAAACACCTTTTACTCAAGAGTCGCTGAGCTTAGTTTTGAGGCAGGGCATCATGTAGCCTGAGCTGATTTCAAACTCACCATAACTGAGGACTCTTAGCCCTGCATCCACTTCCCAGGTGCTGGGTGAGATTTGGGGAGTATGCTACTTACTACATACTACCATTCTGTTTTAAACCTGTGCCTTGCAAATTCATAATTGAACTGTCTATCCTATGCCCATCCAGCTGTTTTAATGTTGCCTGCCTCTAAGTTCCATTCTAATCAGTATAACTGTGCTCTCTTAATAAGGAAGTTAGCTTCCAATTTAGTCACTGTGGAGTTTATGATTAAAATGTTCACTAGGTCAAAATGCTTGAGTGCTTGCCAAAGCTTTCAAATGGGCTTGTGCAAGAAACCAAATATTTAAGCTTAATTAGTAATCTTGCCTTGGCTAGGGTGAACTTTCCTGTATCTTCAATTTCAAATCACTCCTACTCCTAGACTTCCCCAATCTCTAGTTAGCTAGCCATCAGCAAGTCATGTATTCATCCATCCAACTGTCATGTCTTATTTCTGGTCCTTATTTTTAGTGGCTAGAATTTACTATTATACCCCAAACATAACAGACAATTCTCACTGTGTTGCTAATGCTGTCTTGAACTCTGGGGCTTGAACAATCAGCTATCTCATCGTCCCTAGTAGCTGGAGGACACAGGTGCAGCCCTGCCCAACTGAAACCATTTTCATTGTTTTAAAGACAGGGTGGCTGGCCTGGATTTTATCAGTATACCACTGGGACACTGAGAGGCACATGACACTATTCCTAGCTTGCCAGAATTCTTAACTATTGTAAAAAAAATTCTTTATAGTAGAATATCAAGATTTTCTGGATGAAAGCTTTTATATTACACTTTTATTTTGCAAGAAAATAAATTATACAACTCAAAAAATAAAATCCCAAAAATCATCAAAATATTTCAGCCTACTGCATACAGAAACTGCTCCCATGTAAAACTGTACAGTATCATTTCAGTATGTAGTGGTGCACATTCAAAACTGTACAGACCATGAGGATAGACTACACCTTAGGAACTCCAGATCACACAGAGAGTATATGACAGGAACACTCTCAATGTTTCTTCCATAGCTGTGACTTGGGAGAACTTGTGACAGTACCCCAGTCATATGCATGAAAACAGAAGAGCCAGCTCGAGTTTATGATAGCAAATCTTTTTTGTAAACTAGCAAATATTTCACCCAGATTGAATTTGAAAAATTTGGCCCTTGGAGCAGGGCTAATGATATGACATTCAATTTAATGAAGAGTAAAAATAAGAATAATATTTCATTTTTTGGAGACTTGCACAAAGAGCAAGAAATATAAATGAACAGGGACTTCCTCCAATCATTGTAAAAATTGGGCAACTTCAGAATAGGATCCTTATGAAATTATTAGAACAATGATGATTTAACATTTGTCTAACTATGAGCATCATCAAATGTGTTCCACATTTTCCACTGTGTGAATCTGTTTCCTGTCTCCTTACGCTGGCCATGAGATGGCAACAGGTTACCAGGTTATAGATGGTGCCATCTTTAATTAGATAGAAGTACTGAAAACTCTGAGCCTGCTACACTATTCATTTACAAATGGCTCTGTGTTGGTGGGTGGGAGGCAGGGCTCTTCTTCCCATTACCTGTGTCATACTTGGCCCTGCTCACACAGCCAAGAATGAAAGTCTTCAGGGAGAAGAGAGGTCAGATAGTGAACATTACCGGTTGGTCTGAACCTTCAGAAAACTCCTGGTTAAGTT